ACCTCACAGAAAATGCCGTCTTTTCAGTGCAAGTAGTCCGACCTAACCGGTAATACGATCACATACTCTTGCATGCACAGAATAGATTATTTGCATTTGCAAGACATTTCACTCATTTCATTAAATTTTGAGACCAGTCTGGTAAACTCGAGCTTTGAAAAAAGACCTTTAATATAAAGCTTTAAAGAGCTTTAATAAAACCTGATCTACATGCAAACAGCAACAGGCAGAAGAAGAAGTTCACACGTCATGCAAACACGTCACAAGTCGTCCGTTTCAGGTATAAAAGTCTTTTGCGGCGCGTCGGGGGAAACGAACCGTTCGGTCCGGCAGATTTTCCTGCAGCGCGAACCGAGTTCGGCAGCTTTTAGACTTCCGACGCCCATTTTGTTTTTCTCCTCCCTCGGTTTCGCTTCTTCCCAAAGAAAGTTGGAGTATAAAGACGTGAATGTCCGAAGCAGAGGAGCCGATTCAGTTCACAAAATATCATTTACAGCCTCTGCCGTACCTCTGAAGCTTATTTCCAAACACTTTTACTAAATCTTAAAGGTGTAAAAACACGTAGAGAAACTATTAAAAACTATAAATGTAAATGAGTCTTTGCAGCCAGTAGGAGTCCTGCATGTCGTCCAACGATCAGTGGCTTTACCGCTTCTAAAGCGCCATCAAGCAAACCGAAATATTTGGGAGGAATTTCAGCATTTTTCCTCATTTTAACAGTTGACCAGATTTTCTGACAGCAAAAAGATATTATTCCAAATAATATCTTTACGTTTGTTTGTTTGTTTGTTCACAGTCTGCAGTAAATCAAACCTTTATGTTAAGCAGTTTTCAGAGATTACTAAGATCTGACGTCAGGGTTCGAGCGACCTGGGAGCTCCTGTGGGGGTCGCTAACACATTAGCAACAACCTTTATTCAGCAGGAACTCTGACCAATCGTTGTAGTTCCTCACGTCCTTGTTTCTAGTCGTGTCCAGATGGTTTGATTTTACTCTGTGTTGGGAGGGCAGGTGATTAGCACCGTGCCGCGCTGTTGAGCCTCCATAAATCACTGCAGGAGAAATTCCTTCAGTCCATAAAACAATAACACCTACTTCTGTCTGATTCTAAAGGGTTAGATTGTGTTCTTCTGTTGGGCTCATAGTTGGTATATTTCAGCCCACTGAAACGTCCCTAGTTGTCGTAAGGTGTGTGTGTGAAAGTGTTGGACCGCGTAATGCTGATTGTTTCAGAGACCCCCACAGTACGGTGGCTGAGAGGTATCAGCGAACGGAACACGAAACCAAAGGACCGTTATTAGTGGCGGACTTACTGCCTGCTGATGTGTGGACGAGGAGGGTTGAGAAGTGACTGAAACGTTGTTCACTAGCAGACTCTGATCACTGTTGCTCTCTGGGACATCAGGTTGTTACTCAGGACGATCTGAAGTTACTTTCCCCTCATATTCAGATATTACACAGCATCAAGTCCCAACAAAACCCGCTCTGCGGACGTTAGTTAAAAGATGTAATGCTACAGCTTCATAATAGCCTAACGTTAGATGGTACGTTGAATGAGAATATAAGGACACTGAATAACATCACTCGTCACAGTCGCACAGTAATCAGAGTTTGCTAACGAACGAATGGGCAACAACTTTCCTCTTCCACACAT